TGCCTAGCTAAATAGATTAAGAGTGTATAAATTGTTATTGATCACTTTAACTTATGGGATTAATTAATGGGATAGTAAGAGTCTAACTATTAGATGAATTTGAATGCTTACATTAAACTCCAAAACACACCCTTAGAATTCATCTAAGATTAAATATTAACATATCAAACATGTTGTTATGCTTAAAGTTGAGCAATTGAAAAGTAAAAGTTGTAAAAGAAAGGGATGTTTGCAAAAAGAGTGTTTTCAAGTGACAACTTCTAGTTAAGGGTCTGTTCGTTATGGTTGTGAGTTTTCAGTTTTTGGTTTTTAGAAAACAGAAAACTATTTTGAGTTTTTTATTGTCAGTTTTTGGAAAACGTTTTGAATAGGTTATTGATCTAAGAATTACTTCAAGAATTGATAAACTTCCTGACCAGTCAGCAAATACAATTTTTCTAAGCATCTTTGTAAAAGAGTTGAAAGATACGAAGTACGGAGTAATAAATAGAAACGGGTGAAAGAAAAGCCTGCAATTTGGAGGCACATTTGCTGCAGTAGGTTAATTGCATATGGAGAAGACGGGTGTTCGGCGGCGATAGAGAAAACCAGGCAAAGAGAGCGTGGGTTTTTATTATATTGATATATTGAAAGAGACGGGTATGAATAATGAAAGAGATGGGTATGAGAGAGTGTGTTTCCGGAAACCACCTTTTATGGATTTGATAATATCGTTTCTATTTTCAAAAAACAATTTGTACTATTCTAGAATTAGGAAACGGAAGCAACTTTCACCGAACGTGTTTTGTATATTTAAAAAAAACGGAAACTTAAAACTGCAGCTATACCGAACGAGCCCTAAATAAAGAGTTTTTCGACTTTTGGTAGAAAAATGCTTTTTTACTTTTTCTATTACACAAAAAACACTTATTTTACCAAACATTACCAACTTTTACTTTTCAAATCATTTTTTTACAAAAACTATTCACTTTTACTATTCATCACTTTTTCCAACATCATTTAAAAATGCTTTTTTAAGCAAAAACATTTGCAAACACTCCCTTAGAATAAAAGTTTTGCACATACGAAGTACGGAGTCAATTACTAGGAACATCTCTTTCCAGAGATGTCCTTGAAAACCATGGTGCCAACTGCCAACATGTCACGAAGTCAATTCAATTTAGAATTGCTTTTAGAAGCACCAAGGTTATATATGAGGTATGTAGCCGCCATGTAGGATGGATCCGGGGCCTCTGCCTTGCTTTAAAGTAAGGTAGGTCGAAGATCTTGGGCTCCACTCCTTCCCCGATCTCGAGGCCATACTCTTCCCCTCCTTGCCGTCGGATGCCGCAAGGCACTCTGCCTTATGGCAGAGGATCCGAATCCATGTAGGATGGGATGGAGTTTATGTGTGAGAAACCGTTTATATTCTGAAAAACGGTGAAAGGAGTTTAAGCCCGATGTTTAATTTAACATATTTGTTCCGGCACCTAGTAATTCTACATATTCCGAAAAACGGTGAAGGAGTTTAAGCCCGATGTTCACTAACGGAAGTAGGATAATTGACAACACATCAAGGGTAAACAAGCCAAGTTAAAAGTAAGGTATGAGATTTTAACAACAATGTACAAGTTTTTTTGCAGAGATTTTATTGACATAAATAAGGGGTGCTAACCCTTATTCAATATTATAAGGTTGTTAGATGTTAGACATATGTGGGACAGAAAGTGTACCATCCAAAATACCAAGCATTGTGTGTGAAACTAAAAAGGATTCAAACTGTGTGCGCAAAGGTAAATAGTCTTCAACAGCATTCAATTTTGTGGTAACAATATTCGTAATATTCATGGCTGAAACTCCCAAAGATTGTGCAAGTACTGCCAATGAGGAATTAGATGTGGTTACATGCGGCCAAGTTCCCCTTGGACTGACATTCGGTATTGAGGAAACACCCGTAGAGCCAATAAAAGTTGAACCAGCAAACTGGCTTTCGCTGGAGAAGCCGGGCTCGGAAGTGTGAATAAAGCCAGAGGACGAGGCCGCCGATGCAGACGAAGACGACGAGATGACTGGTTTGGTCGGCGACCAGGTAAAAATTGGCGGCACCCAACTGCCGAAAGTCAGCAGCGGAAGCGTTGAATTTACCGGCGAGCTCTGGAACGAGATCGAGGTGTTGAAGATAGCGTCGTTCTGGCTTTGCAGCGATATAGATTCCATGGCAGATAACGAAGAAAGCGGCGCAGCCGTGGATGAAGGCGCAGCCAAGGTAGTCATCAGTGAAGAAGAAGCCATGATCGATCGGAAAAAAAATTAATTGCCTAGGTCTCCTGATACCATGTGAGAATAATATGGAAGCGTACCTTAATGGTAGCCCCAGAAGTAATATTTATAATAGAAGAGTCCAAGATACAAGAAATTTCCTACTATAATTAGACAACCTAATTAATATAAATATAAATACATTATTACACCCATCTCAAGACCACTCTTGTTCAAGGTTACTTAAATTGGAGCTCTTAGTTAATGAACTTCCTCAAAAGGATATGCACCTTGTTGGTATGAATAGTACTATTAATTCTTTTAAATTAATCTCAAGTATTAAAAGTCCTCTCTAGTCTCTTCCACAATAATACTGAGAACATACTTTCAAAGCAACCACATATACTCATAATTGCACCATCACACCAAAACTGAACTATAACTCTCATTATTACACACTATATAAAAGCAACCCAATTATACTTTTCTACGCAATTTGGGTTACTTGTGTCATCCCTTCTTATGCCCATAAAATACTCAAAAAATGAATTCTCGATGTCTGCCCTGTAGATCTGCACTTGAATCTCCAGTTCAAGCAGTTTCACGTCATTTGGTGGATTTGAGGATGAGGTGTCATAGGGTGAAGTGCTTGGGCACTCGTCCCTATTATTCCCTTGCCCTGAATGTGTCTCTGGTTGTACTGATCTAGGACCATGCAGAGGGCATACAGTGGCCGATACATGTCTAGCATGTTTGTGGCCTAATTCCATCTTTCTGGTCGCTTCTTTTGTTGTTGATCATCGTCTGGCCGAGGGGCAAGTCGAGGTGGGTGGTCCAGATGGTTCTGGCCCGCTTGTGTGTCTGAACATTTGAGTTGTGGGTGTGAGCCCATAATTCTATCCAAACACAAACAGGAGTACTTATGTTTTATTTTCAAAATATGACTTATTTGGTCATATTAAAAATATAAAACCTTCTCAAATAAGAACAAATGAGTTATACTTGATGAAGAAAATAATAGAATTTGGGAACTTTATGTGTGTTTTAGTCATATATATTTTTATCGTCAAAATGGATGAATTAAATTACTATCACAACATTCAGATAGGGAGTAAAACGACAAAAGGACCACAGGCAACCGCCGCCCTCGAACTAGAATTAGAGTCAATCACCTCCAAAAAAACAATATAACTCGCTGATCCTATAATGGGCATAAATGAGCCAACGACGGTTAAAGCAGATCTCTCATCACCCAATCCTAATGCAAAAGTCTTACAACAATAAAAGTAACCAGCAGAAAAATAAACAGATTGATCATGAAAAATAAAAAAGCAAACAGTAAAATTTAAAAATTGCTTCCAACGCTAAACTCTCTTGCACTCCATGACGGCAGTTCAGGGGGGGACGGTCCAACAGTACTGTAGCTTCTTCTGCTCCTTGCCTCTGGTACAGATCTGTTCCAGCCCCTAGCCCATGCTTCGTCCATGACCTTCAAATCTCAACCATGAACGACATCCTCGAAACTCTCCACTTGTTGCTAGGAATACACAATTGTTGGCCGCCATATAGGCACTGCAGTCTGCTGAAGAAGATAACCTCACAAAAGGCGGACCAAAGCCGCACAAGAAAACCGCTCTTCGTCGAAGACGAAAGCGGAGAAAAACAACCCCTAAACCTAGGGGAGATGGCCGTCTAGAGAGAAGCTCTCTTAGCGGCACCGCTCCTCGACGAGGTCGATATCGGACGAAGAGCTCTAGTGGTAGAAACCTAGAGAGAGACTCGTTAATGACTCCAAATTTTGTGTTTTAGTCATATATAGATGACTGAGTTTTATTCATATTTCTTTTAATACTCCGTAATACTTCCTCCGTTTTTTTTAGTTGCAACATTCCATTTTTCACACTTGTCAATGCATAACTTTGACCGTCATTATATTTAGTTCTATATTACTAAAAAACTTTAAAAAAACGGATTATGAAACTTCGTAATGAGACGAATTCAATAATATTTTTCAAAAAATAATAATTTACATACATTAATAAATAAAATGTAATCAAAGTAAAGTACATGAATAATGTATAAATTCCAATGTTTCAAATCTACCTCTATATAAAAAGAGGTGGAGAGCCAGTCTATTTTCCCGCCCAAATTGTTGGGTGAAGCATGTGGGTTGGTTATCTGTTAGGGTCGGGTTGAGTGTTGGGTCGGGTTCACTGGTCCAAGTTACAGATGGAGTGTCAGTTGACATATTATTTCATTAATAAGGCTAAAAATCTCTGAGGTCGGAGGCCTTTTGATAATTCATACCTAAATTGCCAGATTGTATTAAATGCATTGAGCTTTCTCACAAGACCACCAGAACATCCATTAATTTCGGTTGACCTCTGTTTCCATTATTGTTCACAATTCAGAATAGTACTTTAGGGTGGTTGGTAGTTATTCCAAAAACAGATATTTAATTAATGAAAATTTGATCTTCAGATTGCATGCACGAGAAGCAAGAATATGAGTTTGACAATACATCCTATTTAAGTTCGAAAGTACACCACTTTTAAGGTAGTTGGGAATTAGAAACAAAAGAAGAAATTCAATTAATGGATTGCAAAAGCTATTCGCAGATTGTGTAGTTATACAATACATTTAAAACTTTGAAAAAAATCTGGGCCTCATTCTTGAGTTTAATTTTCAAATGCTATTGGGACTCTAAGTTCTCCTATAAATAGGACACTTTCCACAGCCATTCTCACACAACACACTCGCAGCATATTTCCCCAAATTCACAGTACTACCAACTCCAACTACACCTATGGCTGCCTCTAAGAGATCAAAAATGTGGTCTCTCATAAGTGAGATTGACCACACCAAAACCAGTTGGGCCTTAAGAGTTCGGGGGGTTCGGGTATACAAAGTTGCAGCTCATGCAAGGGGAGGCAACACTCTGGAAATGGTGCTGCATGATGAGGAGGTAAATTCTCTTCAACTGTATTTTCTTAATACACCCATTTTGGCAGATTGTTTTTGAAAAACTAACTCAGAACAATTTTGTAGGGTACTCGGATTCACGCTGTGGTGAAACGCCCTCAGGTCGCTTTGTTTAGGCCTCAAGTTATGGAAGACAATGTTGATGCCATGAAAAATTTCATGGTGGTGGACAATTACCAGCCGTACAAGACCACCTCTCACCGCGGTTTAAAAAGAAATGTTGTTTCAAATCACTATTACAATAGATATTAAACTAAATAATTAAATAAATATTAAAAGAATGTACACATTTTGGTATACACAGCATGACTGCAAAGATTAGCTTCAAAAAACAATAACTATTCCTATAGATATATACATGTATATCTATATGGATGATAAGTATGTTTAAAGACCAAGTGTTCATATAGGAATTAGTATGGCAGTGTAGTTTTAAAAAGAAATGTGGTTTTAAATCACTATTACAATAGATACTAAATTAAATAATTAAATAAGTATTAAAAGAAAGTACACATTTTAGTGAAAAGATAATGCTACAGTAAAACCAGTACTAAAACCGAGTTTTTAAGATGTATGTATCATAGTTTGAAAATCATATTTAGTTTAATTTGAGTATTGTTTACAAAAAGATAGGATTTCATAATACTTTTATAGATTATTTGTTTAATTTACCTAAATAATAGAATTTCATATATACAATAAGTTTGACAGTTTGGTTTTAAAAATGAATGTGGTTTGAAATCAGTATTATGTTACATATAAAATATAAAATAAGTAATAAATGAAGTAAAGATAGTGGTTAAAACAGAAATCAACCTTGGATCCAGTAATTAAAACGGATATTTAAGATGTACTGGAGCATAGTTTGAAAAACAGTTTTAAAGTTTTAGTTTTAAAGATGTTCAAAAACACATTTAAGAGGTATTTAAGCATAGTTTGAAAATCTGATTTTGTTTGAAACCCATATGGGTTGAAAAATATTCATCTAAAATGTTACATGACATATTACATGAAAGTAAATGAAAGTAAAGACTTTGGATAAAAACAGAATCCTACCTTGGAACCAGTATTCGAACAAGGTATTTAAGATGTAGCAGAGCATAGTTTGAAAACAGATTTTGTTCAAACCCATATTGTTTAAAAAATAATTGTCTAACCTGTTATACCAATAATGACACACAAAGGTATATACACGATAGAATTAGGTGTAAAAACTTAGTCTTGATTTATGAAAAATAGCTTTTAAGTATGGGGTTGTAAAAATAAATATTGTATTAAATCAGTATTACATTATATGTTAAATAACTATTAAATGAAAGTAAACACTTGATTAAACCGCAAAGCATCCTTAAAAACACTATTCAAACCGAGTATTTAAGAGGTATGAGAGTATAGTCCGAAAACTGATTTTGTTTGAAATCCATATAGTTTGAAAAATATTGATAAAAAGTGTTACACTAATAGTTAAGAATGAAATAGTTATTTAGATGTTAGATTATATGTGAGAGATATTTTGTAAAAACCAAGCGTTAAATGGATCAACCAAGGTTTAATCTTAGGTTTTAAAAATTAAGAACAAATAAACTTCGAAACAAGTACCCAATAGCTACTAAAAACAGTTTGCTGTACAAGTATGAAATAGGGATTAGCACTGCATAAATACCTCTCACATTAGTATTTAGCAGTCACTAATTACATTAGTATGATGAATGTGTGACATCATGGTGCTGCTTATCCCATGGTTTGGGATATTAGCTTTCATGTGTCACTTTCATGTGTCTTTATTGTTCCAACCATCATGTATGGGTCCTTCAATATTTAAGGATTTATGACCGTATGTATATCACGTAAAAAACAGATCTGTTTGTGATATATATATATTTACGCAGGTATTTTATTTGTTAGTCATGTAAATATAAATAAAATACGTATAAAGGTAAATGAAAAAATGTCATACTAATTTAGATCGTTACAGCAAAATGATGTATACAGACAGATATGAAATATAATTTCATCTGCCGAGACAGATCTGTACGAGAAAATGATAGATACAGACAGATAAGTCATTACATCGACAATTTTACGTATATTACAAAAAATACTCAAAAATTAGTCATTGACCACCGGATTAAATAAGTAAACAGTTTGAATCTTTCAAATCGGGTAGTTAATAGATAAATTACGACCAAAGATAGACAAAAAATAGGGATGAGGAGTATGTAGATGATATTTTACACATGAATTTTACACATGAATTCGGAAAAATGTCCAAGAGTGTAGCAACGGACGCTAACGCCGATCGATGTACATCAGAAACACACAACGAAGGACCCCAGTCGGTTGGTCACGCCGGTTGGTCAGATTCCGTTCAGAATCCCCATAGAACGACCCCAAAACGAAGATGGTGTGGGTATATACATGAATGAACTGAGAAAGATTCTCGCATTGAAGATGGTAGTTTAGAGTTGTGGAGGGGAGATGTTTTAGAGGGGGAGGTTGATTCTCGCATTGAAGATGGTAGGTCTGTGTTCTGTTCACAGAGAGGTTGAGGAGCGTAGAATGGTCTGGAGGTTAATAGGGGGTCGATGGATAATGGGGAGGGTCAGAGAAAGTAGGGCTTTTATACCTAGGGTCTGAGTATGGGTAGGTTAAATTTAACGGGTTGGGCTGGGAACCTTTAAATGGGCTGGGTATAGGGCCGAACTCGGGTTAAAAACGGTCTTGCTCAAGCTGGATCCGAAATTTCAGGTATTTGGGTCTGAAATTTTAAGGATTTTACATAGTTTGTACATATTCAATGGTTTGGTCTGATTTAATTGGACCATAAACAAATTTTAAAGTGTTCGAATAAATACTTTTGTTTTTATAGTATTAAAAATTAAGATAAATGTAAAAACATTTTTTTGATGTAATTTAAATCAACATACTAATTTAGATGTAATTTTTTTAAAAGAATATTTAGATGAAATTTAGTGTAAATTTAGATGTAATTTAGACGTAAAAAAATTATTAATACAATGTTATTATGTTTAGTATTTATAAATTGTACTTCGTTCATTCATAAACTTATTTTATACATTTCCATTGTTTACAGAAAATGTTGGTCAAAATGTGAACAAAAATCCCATGCCTCATCGCAATAGCTCATCTAATGTTTTGGTCGACAAAACAAATGGTACTTCTCACTCTAAAATTACTTTCTTACCATTTGAATAATGTTAATATATATTTATATTTTGAGTATCTTTGAATTTTTGTTAACATTCTATAGTTTGTTACTTGCCATTTAATTCTTCTCGCGGTATGAGGACGATGAGTGTCAATTGTGAAGAACAACCTTTGGATATGCAACGTGTACTTCCGTTGCAATCGGATCACGTTGAAGGTGCAATGTTGTTATGATTTTTTTACATCCCAATTTATAATATTTGTTAAGAACACCACTTTCCTCTTATTCGTTAGTACTAATGTTGCTTTAAATGTCTTTTTCTAGACAAAGTCAGTGTGGAGTATTGGGATATCGACGACCCATCACATAATTGTGCCGATTGTGGAGCACTGTTTTGATTTGAGCAGAGGACACTTCGAAATTCTACAAAAACAAATCCCAAGTACTCTCTTTGTTGCAACAAAGGTAAAATAAGAGTCAGGGCCAATCTTTGACCCATGTTGGACTCTTATTAAAGAAACCTGTCTTTACGCATGGTCAATTGTATGTGGCAGTATCTAGAGTGACAAACCGTAAGGGTTTGAAGATATTGATTTGCGGTGAAGATGGGAAAAGCACTGATCGTACTACAAATGTTGTTTACAAAGAAGTCTTTCGAAATGTTTAGTCTTTGTAGATCTCAGTGTATGCTTCAAATGCTTACGAACAAGTGTTTCGAACTTTATTGTGTGTTTCGTTTTTCCCTCTTTCCTAATATATAAATTGTACCTATTATTAGAGATTACTATTGTTTTCTCTATAATTATTGTATATTGTTCATATATATATTACACGCGTATAAAAAAAATATCGATCATCTGCACATGCACTAATAACGTTAATAAATAAGATTATATAACTATTCGATAATATAGACCGCGCATCGCGCGAGTGAAAATTATTATGACAAGGAGGATTGTAATAATGAACACGCAGTTTGAATTACAAAAAATGCACGCATTAAATTTCAATGATTATTGGACAAGCCTTTCAAAACAGGGGAAAACGCATATAGCTTTCTTCACCAACAAAAAATCACTCTCACACACCACAAGCCAACGCACCAAAGGCTGAGTTATATGTTATGAACTTATGATGAAGGCTTGTAGTAAGGTAAAATGGAGTAGACGGTCTGGGCGATGGTGAGCGCGAAAAGCAAAATGGCTGCAATGACGGACAGTATCGCCCATGGGTTCTGGAAGTAGGTATGGATCAGATTTGCCCGCCACTGGTTCCACGGTATCTTGCAATACTCACTCACCGCATTCTGAATCACATCCAGGCTGCTCTGCGGATCCATAGTGATGTCTCTCGACAGCGAATTGAACAGCTTCGCCACCGCCTTATCGCTTCCGATGGCGTTCTGGAGCACTCCCGAAGCGTGGAGAAGGCTCACGTCCTTGCTGCTGTCGATTATCGTGTCCATGAAGAATATGTACGCGGTGATCTCGTTCCCCGCCCCCACGTGAGATCGCTCGAACGCCATTAGGTTTAGGAACATCGATTCGCTGGTGTCGTCCAGCGTGATGAGAGGGAGCCGCAGAACGCCGCCGCGGAAGGAGATGTCCGTCAGGCTCCGCGTTTTGTTCTTTTTGATTCGGATCCCGGCCTCGTATAGCTCGATTGCGGATCGGACGATCTGGCCGTCTCCGCCGCCGCCGCTTCTGGATGAGACGGTGGTGGTTTTGCGGCGGAGATGGGCCGCTCGCTGCGCTCCTCTCATTTTATTCACTTGTTGGTGTCTCTTGTGGGCGTACTTGGCTGGTTCCCAGAGCAGATTCTTACGGTACAGATCAAGTACGTGCAGGCATTTCCCGAACTTCTTTTCTCGTGAGTCTGGACTCCATATTTCGATTATGAGGTTGTTGATGAAGTTCACGTCCTTTTCGTCCAGAACGCCGTCATACTCCTGCAAAAATCATAGCTCAGGTGCATCCCCTATTCCACGCATATAATACACGAAAAATTCTTTCTTTTATACCCATTTTTTTTTACCTAAAAAGGTTTTTTATAGGTTCCCAGACAAACAAGTCATAGACAATAGACAGAAGGTATAAGAGTGTGTACTTCAAACATGATAGTACACACATACCACAAACTAATGGTGCACTGCTGCTCTCTAGAGACAACAATGATAAAAACTCTCAAATTTACTCCAACAATTTCTCACACATTTTTTTCCACCTGAGCTATATTTCAGAAAATTTCACAATTTTC